CTCTTCACAGGGCCACACACAAACCAACATGTACATATATCAAAATTATACTTTAAAACACAGAATTTTGGTCCTGTGGAGATGGACATAGTTGCCAGACCCCGAAAGTAAACAGATGGACTTTGCAGTTAAGCCGTTCCAGGAGAGCAGTTATGTATAGCCAATGACTTTATCTGATAACTGTTGGTTAATTACACAGCCAAGAATGTTGCCGATGAGCTACGGTACGTGGAATTTACGATCGACATCACAGTTAGCCAATCCCGGACTGCGGTGATATGTGATGGATGGTGTTGTCGGCCAATCCCTGACTGCTGATTGACAGCTAATTTGGGCTGAAGACCAGGAATGAGACCGCTCCACTCCTCTGTGCCAGGTTGCCATGGAGACAGGTTACTCAGTTGTCATGGTAACAAGAGTGCTCTGAGCAGTCTTCCTATCATGTGCTTCCCAAAAACTATCCCACAATGCATCTGCTATTCGAGCACTCATTTTACTTCACATCAGAACATGGATGCCTATACGACCCAATCACTATATCTCGCATTTGGAGGTTTTTAAATTCCAGTACTTGTCTCATGCATCCTAACGGAAGGATTGATCAACTACTTCATCAGACCACTGTCTTAACCTGGTTACACCTCATGATGGGTTACATTTACACTTGTATGGTAAGAAAAAAAAAAGAACGAGGGTATATCACACCACTAACACGCTTGCAAAAAAACCGATTTGTGCACAGTAACTGACATGCGTTAGGGTCAAACTCGGATCTAGTCTCTGGTTACACAGATTTCTGGGCTCTCACAGTGAAGCACTGCCTTTTTATTTATGATTGTAGCTACTCTACTGATACTGAAATTTAAACAGCCATGTTGGAAATACAGATGAAAATAGTGACACAGGCTACAAAACATGAAAAATCAGTTTGTTAATTTAAAGAATATTCCGGTAAATGCTTTACCGCAAACAGTAATTTTGACACCTTACTCTGTTTGTTTTGTTAAAAAAAATTGTAGAGTAATGTACTTTTAGTGGAAGTCTGTGGGGCATTCTGAAGGGTTTAAAAGCAAAATGTGCAGCTTGTATTTTTGTTGAAATGCTTATATGAGTGGTTCCCAACCTTTTTGACTCCAGAGCCTCTCATTGTCCACAAAAATGTCTGAAGACAACATTATTTTTCCAGTTGTTTGTGATTTACTGGGTTAGGATTTTATAAATATTTTTCAATCACAATTTATACCCAATAAAATATTTCAGAGCTTGGCATGATTAGAAAATAATGTACATTCAACATAATGTATATCAGAGTTTTAAGATTTTATTAACATTACTTTTGCAGGTCTAGGAATCACACTTTTAAAATTAGGCTTCCTCATATATGCAGGTTTTACAAAAACTAGAAATGCTGGTTCTTTAAAAAGAGAAAAAAACAATTGAATCAGTTTATTTTAAAGGGGTGGTTGATTATGATTTCACTTTTTTAACTTTAGTTAGTGTGTAATGTTTCTGTTAGAACATAAAAAAATGTCTGCAAAGTTCGACACTCAAAGTTCAATGCAAAGTGAGATTTTTTTTTTTAGCGCTAAGGACTACAAAAAAGCCTGGTAGGGACTACAACGAGCTTCTTCCCGGGTTTGTGACATCACTAACCCCAGTGTTTACATAAACCCTGCCCCCCGGGAACATGCAACTACCGTAATGGTAAGGGGGCGTGACGTTTCCAGACAACGTGCACTAGGCAGTTAGCGAATCACAACATACTGGACCTGCTAACCAATCTGAGCCCAATTGTGTATTTCTTAGGGAGGGGCTTCACAGAACCAGGAACTCAACAGACTGTTTTGACGAGAACAGAAACAGCGGTGTAGAATAAAGGTCAAATATGTGAAAATAATGCATTTTTTTAAAAAACAAAGCATGAAAACATGTTACATTGCACCCCATAAACACAATCATGCCTTCGAAAAAAGCTGATCAACCAACCTTTAAAATTAGGATTCCTCATGTATGCAGGTTTTACAAAAATCGTAGGAATGCTGGTTCATTAAAGAGAGAGAGAGAGAGAGAGAGAGAGAGAGAGAACACCATTGAATCAGTTTATTTTAATGCTTGTTTTGTCTAATTTTAAGTAATCTTTTTTGAGGCCCCCTAGCGGGCCCCATTCCCTGGTGGAGAGCCACTGGCTTATATTTAATTCTTCTGTCCAGAGATTATATGTCAGCTACAAAGTTGTCAAAATCCTTCTTTTAGTTGTGGGACACTGGTCTAGATTAATTAACCTTTGGTTATGCATTACTAATGTAATTCCAGTCCCTTTTTTTATTCGTTTTATTTTAATATCTAGAATATTGATGTTTTGAGGCTATACTTTCAAAAGGTATTTAATTTTTATTCCCCCTATTTTGCTTATTCCTTGCTCCCTGGACTTCCATTATAAGTGCATTAACATAGTTGAGGACATGTCAAAATTGCATTTTGTGGCAACATGCCAAATAGCTTATCTTTGAAGAAAATATCTAAAATAGCTTATCTTGTATTGAATTTGGAACGTTCCAATATGTAGCAGCTAGTAAGTGGATAAACCATGTGTAAATGTGAATCTCTGCACACTGTTTTCTATGACCACACAGGTGTACATGTAACTCTCTATCCACTGTAGAAAGAACACTGCGAGTTATCTTTCGTTTAAGGTGCCATTCACCTTCTGGGTGACTGTTTGTTTGGTGTAGATGTGGTAGTGAATTGTTGAGTGTCTGTGTAGACTATGACACGGAGGTCAGTGACTGTTTTTGCTAACTGAACCAGGCTGAATGAATGTAACATTCTTTTAATGAATCCTTTTTTAAAGTGTTATGATGTTAACTGGGTGCTCTCAAACTGACGAGCGAGCTTGCTTGCTTGCTTTCTCATTTTCTTTGACTTCGTCCCTTTTCTGTCTTTTCTGGTGTTCACGTGTTTGTCTGTCCCATTTTTCTAGTACTCTTTGCTACATATACTGAGGCTGTGCCTCTTACAATCAGTCCCTCTACTCTTATTTTTACATTTGTAGTTCATTCACATCATTTTTGTACCCTGAGACAATGATTCTTCGCTTTTTTCACTCTGTTCCTCTCTTTCTCTCGCACACTTTCATTCTCTTTCATCCTGTTACCATGGCGATAGGCCTTCTGCCATTATGCATTCTCTCATGCTTTCCTCTCAGACATGCAGTGAAACACACACGCACATTCACAATCCAACCAGGGAATAATAGCTTAAGTTTGTTCAGGGCACACACACTCTCTCTCTCACACACACACACACACACACACACACACACACACACACACAAATAGGCCTATACATGCAAGCATACACACAAAAACGCATGTTTTTCATTATCCAGTGTTACTAATGTGTATATCTATGATGCCTAAACATATTCTATTGACACTTAATGGAAAAATAAAAGAGGCAAATGGAGGAATGTGATTAAATTAATATGACATCTGTACTTACTGTATATTATACAGATTTTTTTTTTCCATAGTGCTGTTTCTCAGTCTCTCTGTCTGCTTCTGGGTATTTAACACACACACACACACACACACACACACACACCTGATATGCTTATAGTGAGCTAACTGCATACTATGCAGCATCAGACCTTAGAAGGACAATAACTGTGAATCTTAAAGGCACTTTAATTAATTTTTACATTTTCACAAAAATAAAAACCTAATTCCAAAGATAATGTAAACAGGTTTTACATCCACTTGTCATAGAACCTTTAAGGAAAACATCTGTGTGGAGATGGTTTTTCTATTTAACAAAGAGTGACATCATCAGAGTGCGACAAAGTGTGAGCTGGCTGTATGAGTGTATGCAGATGTTTATCAGTGACTCAAAGACTCAAATGTTATTTAAAAGACAAAAAAGAAAAAAACAGTTATTTGAATTAACAAATAATATATAAGGCTCATGTTCACAGAAACACTTAATTTGATAAATACTCTAAATACTAGACAAGTGTTCCATGCATTCTTATTCATGACACACAAACACACACACACACACACACACACACACAAAAATGAAACAAAATCATACAAAAAATGTGAATAAAGATCCATTGCTCATTAAGATTGTAATCATAAACGAGTTGTAAATGTCAGGCTGAATTTCTGAAGGTCAGAAACATTGGTTCTTAGATCGAATCTGGTTTGCAAATCTGCTTTTTAAACATTTTTGTATATAAACGTGCATTAGAAATCTTTGACCATTGTGTCATATCTCGCTGCTTTTTTTGCATATGTTCTGCAATTTAATAGAATGCTATGAATGCAGAGAATTATAATTTCAGCAAAACTTGCTAAAAAACATGGTTAATCTGTGGAATGAGGGCAGTTGAAAAAAACACTTAATAATTAAATTATTAATTTGTAACACTTGTAAATGATGACTAAATTTAATTTTGGGTGAACAATTTTTTTAGACAGATTACATTAACTTTTATCATTTTATAATAGAACTGTCATGAAACTTACACACTACCAGTCAAAGGTGTAGAATAATTGTTTTTATGCTGTTAAAAAAGCATTTACCAAAGCTGCATTTATTTGATCAAAAACACAGTAAAACAGTAATATTGTGAAATATTAATACGATTTAAAATAACCGTTTTCTATTTAACACATAATTTATTCCCGTGAAGCTAACTTTTCAGCAGCCATTAATATTTGACCTGAAGGATCATGTGACAGTAATTCAGATATTGTAAACTGTAGTAATATTTTACAATATAACAGTTTTTACCGTATTTTTAATCAAACAAAAGCAGCCTAGGTGAGCATAAGAGAGTTAAAAAAAAACATTTAAAAAACATGTTCTAAACTTTAGACTGGTGGTGAAGTATCAAATAATTAACAATTTTATAATAGCTACGGAAAAGAATCAAGCTAATATATATAAAAAAATTATCAAATATATATTCCATACTTTTCCCAATGCCTCAACAATAACACATGATCTCTAACATAACAGAAAAATTAATTAAAAAAAAATTTTTTTGTAATGTTTCCATAAAAATGTGTTTGGAGTTTGACAGCTCTTTTAAATTCTTCTGACATTGAAAAAACTCCAAACATTTTGACTGTGATTCAGATTTCTGTATGTCATCTTTTCCTCTACTTCTTCTTTACACACTGATCCTAGCACAGAGAAAGGGAGCAAAGAAGAAGTCAAATGCAAATTTAATGGCTTTAAGCATGGTCTTCCTCCAGTTCCGTTCAATCTTGACCTGTCGTCCCTCAGGCACCAATGACGAGCTGCAGTCCAGACAGTGTATGGCTTTCAGTTCAAATGCAGGTAGTTTGGTACCCAACTTCCCTTCCAGCTTTGTACTGAACTCTACCATGCTGCCTGGATCGAGGTTCAGCAACACCTGTTTAAACTCGTGACTCGCCATTAGGAGGATGTCACCTGCCGGATCGTCAACTTGTGTGACTCCATCCACCGGCATGCCGACCGTCACCTCAAAGCGGTAACTGTCAAAGCGTTTAACGTGGCATTGGTGTTTCGCAAAGGCCTTTATCCGACAGAGCTCCTCCTCTCCCTGCTGGAGGAACAGCATTGTGGCATTGACAGGCTCGACTCCCGTGACATTCGCAACTGGAGACTTATTATTCTGTGGTTCACACTTGGGATAAACCTCACCATAGAGACACCGCAACCAGTCTCCCATAAACACCGGTAGCAAGTTTATAACAGACTGAGCTCCGTTTTCCTTCTCAGCTACATGAATACGACGGAATATTCCGGTCCAGGTGACACGATGACCCTCCAGATGGCTGCAGAAGAGCTGTGTTTGAGCCATCCCACGATCCTGCCAAGCACGTGGGCCGCACAGTGTACCATATTCCTGCCAGGTGATTGTGGAGTTATACACCTTCAGACCTTCAGCATTATAGACATAGACGCCGCAGAGTAAAATCACCGTAGTGATGCACAGGAGGATCAGTTTCACCGGACCTCTGTGGGTGATGGAATGGAAGACATTTAGGATGGACAGGCTGAATCGAGTCCAAAGCCGCAGGATCACAGGGACGGCACACACTGCCAGCGTCACCAGCATTTTAGTCAACTCCAACTCCAGGAACCACTTAACCATCTGAATCAGGAGCATCGCCATCAGACCCAAAGCCAAAACGGGTAAGGCAAACAGGAAGAGGAAGTAGGCCACACAAGTGCGGATAAGGCCAATGGTGGTGGAGTTCCACAGCAGGACCACAGAGAACTCGCACCACACGAAGCAGACCAGGTACGGCACCAGGAAGCAGTACGTCCCTCTGAATCCCCTCATACGTGCCATACTATACATTTTTTTAAAAAGAGGTCTGATTAGGTATGGTCATGATATTCAAACGCCAGTATCAATAATACTGTATATTATACTATACTATTATTATTTACTTGAGGAAAATGTTACTTGCCCTATTGGGTTAGCACTATATCTTATTTTATTTTATTTTATTTATTTTGATAATGTAAATACATTTTTATGCCTTGCAAACTGGTTTTCTGTGACACTGGTTGTGATATTGGTTTCTACTAGGTAAAATTATCTAGCTGGCTAGCATAGATGAATAGCCATATCGAAAACTGCGAGAATTAATTGTCATATCCTTGATAGCATAAGGATGATTTAAAAATTGCTAATCAATTAGCAATGTTTTGTCATTATGTCTTTATTTTCCAGAAAAAGTGTTTCCTTTTTTATTTAAAGGAAAATTTATTTCCTTTTTTGGGCAATTTTTCTTTGTACAGAAAAAGTGTTTGAAATGTATAATCATAAATAATATTTGTAATAATTTTCCGCTATTATTGCAAGTTTTCTTTGTGAACAAAATTGACATTTCGTGAAAAAAAAAATGTACGTGTGAAAAATGCATAAATATTGAATATTGAATAATTAGACATTAAAATTGTTCATGTAAATATAAAATTATAAATTTAAACTAATAAAATTTTTGGCAATTTTTTGGGCATTTGTTTACAGGAAATGTAACATTTGATAAAAAATATATAATCATTATAATATTTTTAATAATTTTCAGCTATTATTGCAAGTTTTCTTTGTGAATATATATATATAATAAAATAACCCTGGTCCAATCCAGTGGATTGGATGTACATTGCCTTAAATAGGTACAGTAAAAACGTTCTTTTACCTGAAGAACAAGTAGAAAAGGTAGATGTAGAGCACACAGGGTACACTGAGCTCCAGCACCAGTGATTCTCCTAGAGGGATGGTTGTGAAAATATGTCCCAGCATCCTGGCCATCGCCATTTCCTTCGGCAACCTGCTGGTCAAGGCACACAAAGATGAAGCCACCTCGATGATGAGTGCCCTTCGTGCGTAAGCTGCCGCAGATGGGCTCAAGCTCATGTAGCTCATTGCCGTGAAGAAGATGGCCACTGTGGAAAGCTCCGAGCATGGGATCCAGCCTTTATCTGCTACTGGGAAGGTGAAGATCGTAAAGAACACTGATATCATGAAGTAGAGGTACTGCTCCATGTTGTTCCAGCCAAAGTTGGACTCCGCTTGCTCCACGTCCAGGCTGGGCTCGAAGCGTGTGAGGAGGGCGGTTAAGGCACTGAAGTTTTCCCATCCTTTGCTGCTCTTGAAGACTCTCAGTGTGCAGATGGCCATGGAGATAAAGGAGAGGTAGAAGATGAGGAGCGGGATGACGAAGGCAAACAGATCAATGGTGAGATTGGAGATGATGAAGAAGAAGATAAGGGCATTGACGTGTTGCGTTGGGATGATGGTGCTCAGCCACTGGACACCAGCACGAGATGCCCAGTCAATTAAAAGTTCCTTCATCTCAATAATCACATGGAGAGGGTACTGCAGACCCTACAGGGTAAGGAAAGACAATGAGTCAACATTTGCATTTTACAAGAGTACTGTCAAACAAAAGTTGGATAAATAGCTTCATCACTTTTATACATAATTTTTGTCAATTTGTTTTTCACCAAGAAGTGGGATTTTATGTCCAGGGCTCTCTTCATCGCACCACTGCGTCTGGTAGTCAATATCATCCCACTACCCGACATTCCCCAACTGGACTTTCGATGACGCTTATGAGTGACGGGGGCCAATTCATTTCTTTCCTGTATGAAAAAAAGCAGCATTTTTTGATGTATTAGCAAGTATAAAGCTGGTTTTATCAACTTACATTGCGGTCTCATTGGTGGACATTTAAGTTAAGGGGAAAGTTCACCCAAAATTAAAATTCTGACACAATTTACTCAACCTCATGTCATTCCAAACAAAACACAAAATATATATTTAAAAAAATGTCTCAGTGATTTGTATTTCCTTACAGTGAAAGTCGCTGGCATCCAGTTTTGCTTTGGATCTCACTGAGTTTCATTATAGACAAAAACTGTTTTCCACAAAAGACAGAATGTCACAGGTACAACATGAAGGTGAGGAAATGATAAGAGAATTTTCATTTTTCAGCACACCCTTTAAGTGCCTTTCTCATAGACAAATAAATGACGATAGCATATATATTCATCAAACACCTCCCATTTTAATTGATGTTTTGAAAATTTGCTGCTATGTGAAAACATCTGCACTTATCTCTTATCTTCTTCCATAGCACCTCACCATTTCAAATGTGGCTACATCACTTTTACTTAACGTCTTCTCCTCTCCCGTTGCATCTACGCCTGAGGTTCTCAGTGTGGGAGCGCACGCTATGCCTTCTGTGAACTTTTTCGTCATCTCCACAAAATCTTCCACATCCACATACTTAGAGCTAGCTATAGAAGGACAAAGATGCATATTTGTGATGAGTTATGATTATCTCTCTAAAATTTTGAAAATGATACCTCAGATTGGTTTACCAACCTTTCAGTTCCTTTACAACCATCCTTTACTGTTCTCAAAAAAAAAATTTAATCTATTGCATTTGTGTACACACAAATATGTACACTTACATTCATTACACACCATGGTCTGCAGGATTTTCCTCTGAGTATGAATGCTGGGTGTTACACCACATACAGCAGGTTCACCTATTATGAAGAATGGATTAAAATAAGTTACTACTAGCAAGACATGTTAAAAAATGTATTTCTTAATCACAATCAGGTGTTTGTTTAACAATATAAGCATCCCAAAATTCAAAATTTGGTCAAAAATGCCACCTGTTTCAGATTTAAGGTACGCAAGGATGGAAAATGCTGTTGAAAAGAAAGAAGGAAAGAAATCTGCCAATTACCTGGTATAGTATTGACCTGGCTGACATTCTCCAGCATCTCAGACATGGCTACTTTCTTCTTTCTGTCAGGATTGAGTTTCCAATACATCGACATGGCTGCTCTCCTCACTGCCTGTTCAAGCTTACTCTCTGAGGACAGCCTTCTCACTTCCTGTGCATTCTCTGGTGTGATGCCTGCCAGTAGAGAAGTATAGAAGAATGCATTTGGGATTATTATAAACAATTTATCAATTAGCTTAACAACAATTTTTCAGATTATATTGACATAACTTGCACTTGAAGGCATGTTCTCAATGTTCCTTGTTTTCTCAACTTCCCCTCACCTTTCTTTTGGATCCAGCATTTCTGAAGTAGTTTGGCTGCATCCCTCCGACCTTGTTTTGCTGCCTTCACAAACCATTCAACAGCTGAACAGTTATTTGTCTCTGTGTCTGTTTCTTCTGCCAGTTTAAGGTAGTATTTACCGAGCTACAGGACACATTAAAAAATATACATTAAAATAATTAACCAATAATGTTTTAATTTCTCAACTGACATATAGAAACACCTCAAGATCATAAATCGTGCATAATAAACCAAACTTCTTTTGTTTAGAGTAGTTTGCTTAGATCACAACATAAGAATTAGACTACATTGCCCATCAACCACTGCATCATTTTGATGAACAATAATAACTGGCCTAATATCCCAGAGGCTCAAAGCTAGACTGAGTATCATATAACCATATCTAATCTTAGCCTGAATGCTAAACCCTGATTATTAGACCATGGTAAGCACTTCAGTGTGTCTTTAACAACACAATCACAGATTAGTGCAAAATCATTAACAGAAAGTAAACTATGCAGTCAAATGTTTGGCCCATCTACTAGGCTTATCTCCACCCCCATAATGATTTATGTACTTGAGCCTAATTGAATAAAAAAAGCATAGATGTGGGATTCATTTTGGAGGAATAGAGAAAGTGGAGGTCTCAAAGAATAGTCAGGGCTCATCGTTCAATGTATCATCGTACAGTATATGTCGGCTGAGTCTGTATATGCAGACACATTTGCTCTGACTGAGAGTATGTGTGAGAATATGTACACGTAGGGGCAATTGAGTTATATTGAGACTGGGCTCATCTTCCAGAAAGCTGAAAATAGACATGCTCATCATGGCCATGCCAAAAAGGACACACTTTAAGGCAGACAGAAACACTACAGAATTGAATTTGTATCGGAAAATACACTGTAGATCGTTTAAAATCCGATAGCTACATTATAAACACTTGTGTTCATTATATAGGTCAATGGAGAATAGCGTCACACAGCGCCAATACCATCACAATCAGTTATGGTTTAAGTTCTGAAATCACAGCACATATGTTCAATCAAAGGTCATTAAGGAAAGGACCCCAATTGCAGAATAGGATTCAGTCCACTTCAGTATTATGTCATGAGATATAATTTCTTTGCTTGTTATCAGTTTATGAGGTACACCGCATATTTGTTCAGAATAAATTGTATCATTATTATTTCATAATATGACAATATTCGTAATTTTAATATTATTTCAAACACATGTGTGTTCATGTACTCACTCTACTCTGTGCTCTAGGGTCTCCAGCCTCAGCTTTCTCCAGGAGCTCCTCAAAAGGCAGATCTTCATCCATATCATCTACGAGAGATAACAGTCACTCACTTATATGATTATGTGAACACTGTGGTGACACAATATTGAACTTGAAGTCTTAATGAATCCACAAATCCTCTAAATAATTCAACTATGCTCATCTTTGCAAAAAAATGTGTAAATCCTGCTAGTTAGATCATAATTAATGCTGAATAAAGTTCCAGAACAATCCAAGAATTACTATTTTTAATTTAAAAAAATGTTTGGAATGGAAACAGGAGCTTGAGTATGATTTTACTGAACATAGTTTATCTATAGATTCCTGGCAACTGGGTTGTTTACTTGATTCTGTGTTATTGATTTAATCATGGCCTCAATATAGTAAATAGGTTGCAGCTGAAGGGATCTTCAAAGTTAACGTCTCCATTACCTTCTGACACTATAGGCTGAAACCAAGCCACAAAAGCAAAACCAGGCCATGAGTAAATAAATGTACCCCTTAGATTTTCAAGTGAGAGGTGGATCTATTTCTTGAACACTGACATCCTAATAAAGCGCATTGGTTTGTGATAAAAATAGGATTTATGTTCTTGGTGAAAATAAAGCTAGCACACACTAGCATGTGTCAGTAGCCCCGCCATGTCTCACTGATTACCCTCATTTGGATGCATTGCTTTAGTGTCATTCATAATGAATGTATATCAAGAAACTACAATTAATATGGTACTATCAAAAAATATCAAACACAATAAGCCTGTTTGATTTTTGACAAGGTAAATATTTGAAATAATTTCAAAGAGTTAAATACAACAAAGAAATCTGAAATTGGATCATACAAAAACTTTTTTTTTTAGCAGATTGTCCTTCAGCTTTCTTTGTTATGCAAAGCTTCACTTACCACATTCTTCAGCCTTGGCGTCTTCCTCAGCCTTTCTTATTTTCTCCTGCATCATCACCTTTTGGGCTGCAGCCAAAAAGCTCCGTTGACGTGGGATTGATGAACCCACTGCAGGTATTTTGGTGGAGGACAGTGAACCTTCAGGAGGAGATGTAGATTGTGTAGGATCAGCAGAAGTGGTGATGCTGGGTGTGGATGGATCATCGGGAGAAGATAATGTTGATTTTGATAATGATGATGATGTTGTAGCTGGCATAGTTAGAGTAGTTTTAGAGATATGTGATGATGTAGGGGCAGGTTTCGGTGTTGCTGGTTTTTCAGCTGTTGATCTGGCTGGAAGGTTTGCGGTTTTACCATTAGTTTGTTTTAATTTAGTATCTTGACTTGAAGAAGGGGTGGATTTAGGTGGTTGGTCTGGGCTGCCAGAACTGGAGAGGGGGGGACCCGCCATCTCAGTGCCTGGAATGGATTTAGTTGATGGAAAAGGAGGGTTGAGACTTTTGTGGGCTGCACTTTTCTCCTTGAGAGTCTCAGGAGATGGTGGTGGGTTAGCACTAACATCCTTCTCACCTAAAAGACAACAAACAAAGTGCAAAGACATAATGTTTCCAAAGAGCACCAGTATTTTTTTTTCACTTACTCATTTCTTACATATTTATGTGTTCTTACACAATTGGTTAACCTACCAACTTCATAACATGCTTTTGACATCTAAACTCCACTACATACACCACACAAATGTATACAGTGTATATCAGCTTACAAAGAATAACTTAATCACTTACATATTTAATTAGCCTGTATAAATAACCAAATTCATCGCATGGTTTTCACGTTAACTGTATTTTTATATACATTTTGATAACCTACTATATACCAAATAAATGTGTGTACACAATATTATGTTTTGACAGACCTTAGAGAATAACTGTGCTGAAATTAAAGGTAGTTTTAGTACTCAAAATAAAAGAAAAGAGAATCGAAACAACTTACTCATTTAAGCTGAATGAACAGTCTTCCTCAATATATGGCGTAACACAACGAAAATCAACTCTTTTAAAAGTTTTCTGTGCTGTCCACACATAACAGCTCTGTGAAACCAGAGCCCCACTAAGGATTCGCAGTTGTTAAAGCCCACCATACCTCCAGAGAACGAGCTTCGATTGGATCATTCAAGTGCCAATCAAAGAGTCCCTCTCTGATTGGATAGGACTCGAGCAGTCAGTGAATGGCTTTGCCAAAAGGATTGTCATCGCCGCACTTAATTTGGATTCGCATGACAGAACACATCAGTCTTACTGTGGCGAAAGACAAGCGGGTAAGCTTAGAATAGCGTAAAATAATAATTGTGACCCTTATCTTTAAAAATTCATGAAGGAGGTTCAGTGAATGAACGTCGGTTAGACCTATGGGCAGCCACTAGATGTCAACGAAGTAATAATAATATATTTTTGCTCGCACAGCGGTGTATGCCTGTTCACAGAAGACGCAGATTGTAGTGTTGTTGCGGGACGCTCGTACAGCTCCAAATGTTCATTACACACCCCGTGCTATTTGTGAAACAAAGATGAAAAAGGAGGAGACACTAGGGACCAAGGCTAGACTGAACAGTGGTTGAGGGTTTTGATTTGATTAATCTCAACTCGAATCTTTTGAATGTATTCTGTTTACTAAACATCCGATCACTGATTTCTGCCGTTAAGAACCATTAACACCTACTACGTCCATCACGACAGAATGATAATTTTCTGTTTATTATAAACGCGATGTTATGTTGTTTGCCGGTTTAAATGCTCGAGCTCTTTAAAGTTGATGGATTCTGATTGGCTGTCAATTTTTTGACGTGAACATCAGCTGTTAAAATCGTTCTGAAAGTGATTCCAGTGACTTCCCCTCATAGAATGTGAAGAATTAGGCTATATTCTATAAGCTATTTATATTTGTCGTTATATCGGTCTTAGTGCAATCGGGCATTTACGCCAATAGGTGGCGACAAGTGTGTTTTTTGTTACGAAGAAGTCATTCATTCACTCAACCTATTCGTTAAAGGGGTCATATGATATTGCTAAAAAGAACATTATTTTGTGTATTTGGTGTAATGAAATGTGTTTATGCGGTTTAAGGTTCAAAAAACACATTATTTTCCACATACTGTACATTATTGTTTCTCCTCTATGCCCCGCCTTTCTGAAACGCGTCGATTTTTACAAAGCTCATCGGTCTGAAAAAGCGAGGTGTGCTCTGATTGGCCAGCTATCCAGTGCGTAGTGATTGGCCGAATTCCTCAAGCGTGTGACAGAAATGTTATGTCCCTTACCATATTGTGATGCCTGCGGCAACCACATGCGATGACCCTGGGCTGGACTCTGCTTCGTCCACGGTGAAAGCCGATCCGGCGATCCACAGCGCGAAGTTGATGTATTTCCTCAGCGACCAGCACGGATCAGCTCCAGGCATGACGAGATTGGATCATTCAAGTGCCAATCAAAGAGTCCCTCTCTGATTGGATAGGACTCGAGCAGTCAGTGAATGGCTTTGCCAAAAGGATTGTCATCGCCGCACTTAATTTGGATTCGCATGACAGAACACATCAGTCTTACTGTGGCGAAAGACAAGCGGGTAAGCTTAGAATAGCGTAAAATAATAATTGTGACCCTTATCTTTAAAAATTCATGAAGGAGGTTCAGTGAATGAACGTCGGTTAGACCTATGGGCAGCCACTAGATGTCAACGAAGTAATAATAATATATTTTTGCTCGCACAGCGGTGTATGCCTGTTCACAGAAGACGCAGATTGTAGTGTTGTTGCGGGACGCTCGTACAGCTCCAAATGTTCATTACACACCCCGTGCTATTTGTGAAACAAAGATGAAAAAGGAGGAGACACTAGGGACCAAGGCTAGACTGAACAGTGGTTGAGGGTTTTGATTTGATTAATCTCAACTCGAATCTTTTGAATGTATTCTGTTTACTAAACATCCGATCACTGATTTCTGCCGTTAAGAACCATTAACACCTACTACGTCCATCACGACAGAATGATAATTTTCTGTTTATTATAAACGCGATGTTATGTTGTTTGCCGGTTTAAATGCTCGAGCTCTTTAAAGTTGATGGATTCTGATTGGCTGTCAATTTTTTGACGTGAACATCAGCTGTTAAAATCGTTCTGAAAGTTATTCCAGTGACTTCCCCTCATAGAATGTGAAGAATTAGGCTATATTCTATAAGCTATTTATATTTGTCGTTATATCGGTCTTAGTGCAATCGGGCATTTACGCCAATAGGTGGCGACAAGTGTGTTTTTTGTTACGAAGAAGTCATTCATTCACTCAACCTATTCGTTAAAGGGGTCATATGATGTTGCTAAAAAGAACATTATTTTGTGTATTTGGTGTAATGAAATGTGTTTATGCGGTTTAAGGTTCAAAAAACACATTATTTTCCACATACTGTACATTATTGTTTCTCCTCTATGCCCCGCCTTTCTGAAACGCGTCGATTTTTACAAAGCTCATCGGTCTGAAAAAGCGAGGTGTGCTCTGATTGGCCAGCTATCCAGTGCGTAGTGATTGGCCGAATTCCTCAAGCGTGTGACAGAAATGTTATGTCCCTTACCATATTGTGATGCCTGCGGCAACCACATGCGATGACCCTGGGCTGGACTCTGCTTCGTCCACGGTGAAAGCCGATCCGGCGATCCACAGCGCGAAGTTGATGTATTTCCTCAGCGACCAGCACGGATCAGCTCCAGGCATGACGACTGCGGATATCTCCTCTTTTGGAAGACCAAACAAAGTAGTTTCGCTTTCACAACGAAGCACACAGCGAGAATAAAAGTTACGCCTTCTTTCTTTGCGTGAACATTTGGGCGGCGTTATGCTAATCTTCCCACATAGTGATGTAGACATGTGGGGGCGTGTTAGAACCAGCCGTTTTAGGTAGGTGTGACTGACTTAACTTTTATAAAGAATATCTCTTTGGATTTGAGACTTTAGTCTTTGCAACTTTACAGATCTTCTTTATGCACCAAAAGCTTGTAGCACTTCAAAGAGAAAGGAAAAATTGAAATCGCATCATATGACCCCTTTAAAAACAGTTGTACATGAAAAGTGTGACTCCAGAAAGAGTGCTTTAAGTAGCTACATCCCACAAAATTCGAAATATATGTATTTGTTTGTTTGTTTGTCTAACTGTGAGACAGTAGGCCTACTTAAGGTATAGAAAAAGGTTGATAAAAAGAAAACAATCATAGCTTAGCTAAATAACATAGTAGCTGGTGCACTGGTCCATTCACTTCGTTCAAGAAGGAGAATATTCGTATTCATTTCGTTCATGAATATCATTCTGTTCTTTCACATACGTGATGAATGGCCTATTGTTCATAACATCATTAAAAAATTATTCCAAAGCTGTCACGTGGTGAAACGGGAGAGACTTCCGTGAAAACATAAGTCAAAAATATATAGGCTATTTAGTGCGTGTAAATAAACAATTTCATTTGAAAGATACGTTCACGACTCGAAACACCACTAGAGCTCTCCAAAGTTCCATGCGTTTACCCAGACTGGTAGTTTCATGCAAGTCAGTGCAGCTGACTGCAGTGTTTTTGCGCATCTGCACGCTTTCGGATGGAGGATGGCAGTCACTGCATTGCCCAAATCTTCAGTTCGACAAAATAAACAGGAAAAAAAAAAAACACTGATATAGGTCTAAATTAAAATGTTCAGAGAGAACTGGATCTGAGGATGCAATTTTATTCGGACTAGCTCATTTAAAAAAACGCGTTATTATAGGCTATCAGACTGTCTGGAAAATAGTAGATCGCAGCATCATTATCAGTCTGCAAGCTGCGACCTCCGCATCCACAGGCAAACCGAGGCTGACCTGGTTTTCTGCACTGGCATCTCGCTTCATCATTGTATTAGAGCATCATCTCCCTCCTATGAGTGATGTCGGACTGTAGGCGACAGTGGAACCGGGAGGATGAGCTCCCTGTGTACCTGGCTAAACCCATCTCGGCCGGACCCAACCAGCGTCACAAGTCTCACGGAATGTTTAGCTCCGTCGAGGGCGCGTGTGATAGCAAGACTATCGATTTTGACCAGTACGCCGTAGGGAGGAAGGGGAACAGGAGCTCACGGAGCAGTAGCAGGGAACGCATCGTGGATGGGGACTTTGAAGCTTATGAGATCAGCGGGGGGACCATCAGCTCCCCGGGTGAGAGAGACGACGGGCGTCCGGGTGTCGAAATCACGGATCAGACTGAAAAGGAATGTCGTTATGAGCAAAACAACGGGAAGGTGGGCTTAAATATCATGCGTGACCATTTTCGGAGGATTTGAACCTTAAACCATGCAAGTAGGCTACACAAGGTTCAAATTTGCTCATAAAAGAATAACAACATCTATTTGTAAAGCATAGAATGGACGCATAGCCTAAGTAGGCTATACCTATCCTATGTTCTGACATAAATTGCGAAAGTAAACCTTAGTTAACTGCTACCGTACTTAATATGATTTTAAAAAAGAAACAACATTTACAATCAAATGCTGGAATTTTATCAGGCCTAAGAAAACAAACAAATAAAATAGCTTATTTTAGCCTAGCTATTATGCGAAAGTAAAACCTTATACTTGGAAAAACATACTAAGATATAAAATCCAATAGCCTACTGTAATTTTACTATAAGAAAACAAAAAATAAAACTCAAAATTGAGTTTGAGTTAGTCTGCCGTATAGGCTACAGAAGAAATATATGCTTATTTTGTATTTCAGTGTAAAATATTGTTACAGTAATGCTACCATAAGTAAAAAAGTTTAAATTTATGGGGCATTTCCAGAATTTCCTATGCAAACCATTATTTTTTAAGTTGCATCTTCTATTTAGTAAATGTCGGTCGCATTATTTTACTGTCACGTTTGTCACTTTGAAGATTTTTGCCAGTTTTATTGGAACGATATTTTAAGGTTAGCATGCTTGCTCAACATTCTTTTACTTGATAGCCTAACTCAACATTCTAGGAAGGTCGATTTGTAACATTCCAATTGCAATGCAAAAATATCTTTCCTCGTAGAACGTTATTTATGAACTAGCCTATTCATAATTTAAAAAAAAAAAAAAATAATACATTTAGAAACGTATTTGACTCGTTTTTAATTCATGAATTAACCTTATTATTCAATATATCTTAAAACAAAAACTATTTTACGAAACTAGACCATTTTTGACCCATAACGCCGACATTCTTTTTACCGATTCTCGCCAAGTTCTCTCTCTTTGTTTCATGTGAGGAGGGCGCTCCAACATACACTCAAATACAAAAAACACGTCTTCGAACAGGCGAACAGATACACACTCGCATGCATACACTCAAACACACACACACACACACACACCCCTCGGGAGAGGCGCTCGCTTGTGCAGTACTAACGGAGCGCTAGTTCGTTAAGTGGGTTGGTGACACAAAGAAGCGGGTGACTGCTCATTGTTCATCTCCTCAAATCATAAAAGAGAGATGTCTGGGACGGGCTACCAAGGAAAGAAGAACATCCCGCATTTGACGGTAAGACACCGGTTGCAAGGCGACCCTTCGGCTCCCGGTAAATCCTGCGCATGGGGGAAACGAGAAGGGATTAAATTCTTAGCGAGCCAACAAAGCAGAGGCCGCTTAGAAGAGCACTGAAATCAGCCAACGGAAAGGTTAACATTACTGCTGCAATGTGGTACAGCCAGGCACACATCCCTGCCGTGCATGAAGCGACAAACGCTCCGTTTGCATTTACAATAGATGCACAATGAATCGTGCATGAATCTACAGCAGCTTTGTTGGGTGCGTTTCATTTGACAAATGGCGAGTGCATATGCAGCGGACTAGACGCAACAGGGTCTGTCGCCAAGAGCAGAAATCTGGAATAAACAGACACTTGTTTTTTAAATGCCAGTGCACACATTAAAACTGTTAAGAATATAGGAATATGAGCCCTATGTGTTGTATTTTTGCCTGTAGTTATGAGTAATGGATTATAATGATCCTAATCCTAGACTAAAGCAATCATTGCGATCTGTGCCTGGTTGACATCTAGGAATAGCGCATATATTGAGGTTTTTGCTTTGAATACGAAGTCTGAATCAGTTAAGGAAAACGCCATGGTATGTGCCTTCCTGACAACTGGGTGATGCGAGGTTACCATGGCAACCTAACATCTTTCCACATTACCACATTTGCTCTTCTCTGTTCATAGAACCCCACCCATTCACAGAGTGTGAGGCTGAAACTGTGCAGAAGGCTCTTTTATCAGTGGTTGTAAGAGCACTTCACTGAATTGCAAATATAGCAGGTAAAATAAGGTTTAAACTGCTGCTGGAATCACTCATTCTCTGGCTCGCTCTCTGTGTTTCTTTTCCTCTCTTCTTCAGAGCGAGCGGCTGCTGATTAAAGGTGGAAGAGTGGTCAATGATGATCAGTCGCTATATGCGGACGTTTATGTTGAAGATGGAATTATTAAGTAAGACACCATGCACAAGCAAATGCACATTTTTACAAAGCACAATGCAGTTTTTCTGTAGCAATTGCATATTGTTGTAAATTTGAATGATGCATGCATGAAAACTACACACCAATCAAGTCACATTAAAAAAAAATTGCTTTATGCAGCATCTTAAAAAATATATATTAATTCATAGTTTTACTGGAATGTTATTTGGTTTATATTATATATAATATAATTACTTTATATTAAGTGGCCTTAACTACATCAAAATTAAGTACTTATTGTGTTCATATTGTATTGCAAAACACTTTTGCTACTATTGAGGTGGGATACGGATAAAATTAGGGACAGGTTTGGTGGTATGGGTTAAATAAATTGTAATTACAGAAATTAATTACAGATGTAGTTACATGCAGGTATTCCAAAGAATGTCAAATGTCCAGTTTGCTTAATGTTAACGTTATTTCAAAACAATTAATTCAAATTTAGAAATCTATTTGAAATAATTGTCTACTGTTTGCTGACATTTACTTTGAAGAAGGATTTATGCTCATGCTCAAGCAAATATTATTAATATGAATTATATGATTTTCATGTATAAAGGCCCATTCATACTGGTGCGTGAACACTTATGAGGTAGATTATGCAGATTTGTTTTTCTTTCTGTTCTGTTGTGTAAATGTTCTGTTAAAAAAACTGTGGCTGTCAATAGAATGAAATAATGCTTAATTGCATCATATTGCATGACATGTTAAATTTGGCATCATATGAAGTTCTCCTGTGGCATCAGGCCATTAAAACCTTTTTATAACTTTTTTGTTTCAACTGCACACCTGTATTTTGGTCTGTCGTGTAATATAGTGCATGTGTAGTACGTAATGTGTTTGTAATGTATTCGTTTCCCATCTCGCCTTCAGACAGGTTGGGGAGAACCTGATTGTGCCGGGGGGCGTGAAGGTGATTGAGGCTAATGGGTGTAAGGTGATTCCTGGAGGTATTGATGTGAACACCTGCCTGCATAAGCCTTACTTGGGCACTCCACCTGTGGATGACTTCTACCAGGGCACCAAAGCTGCTCTGGCAGGAGGAACCACCATGATCAGTAAGTCTGTATGAATTGTTAATCTGGCATTTAAAAAAAAAAAGAATTTAGAAAGTTTTTCTTAAAAAAAAGGACTAAAATTACATTTGATCTCAGGATTGTGGCAAAGGTTCAAGTATGTTGAATATTTAGGATGCAGTGCCAAATGTTCTGAGCAACTTCCTGGACTAGGACTCACTTGCATCTCCCTGTGAGAGCAAAGCAGTGTCCCAAATATGTCTGTTGTTGCTTGCTACAAGGACATGCCCTCGGTCGTGCATGTCAGCTATAGCCAGTCAGATTTTGCTTTCTCTAGCAGTCTGAGCTAAGAGTTTTTTTATGGTTACAATAGCCAATTTTCTTTAAACAATGTATTAGAACTATTAGCTGTTGTGTGTGACACAAAGAAAGAAAAGAGTCTTTGTGCATAATAAAAAAGTATTCAAGGAGCATCAATAGAGTAATTTAGGACTAAAGCAACAAAGTAACAGCATCTTCAAAAGAAAATAATAGGAACTATTTAATAGAATCTTCAAAAGTCAACCAAAACATAAAATCTCAAACACATTTTGAGCAGAATCCATAATTTTCTGTTTCAGTTGACCATGTGACTCCACAGCCTGGTGACAGTCTTTTGGAGGCCTTTGAGAAGTGGCAGGAAGCGGCTGATAAAAAGTCCTGCTGTGATTATTCACTTCATGTGGATATCCCTCATTGGCATGAAGGTGTGAAGGAGGAGCTGGAACAGCTGGTACAGGAAAAAGGTGAACACATATTTAAAGATGTGACAGTATTTGCAAAGCTAAAAGTATTTTGTGCTTTTAAAGCCACATATCATGATCATACTGATGTTTCAGAGCCACCTGTTGTCAATTTGGCCAATGTACCAAATGCTGATGATTGTTTATTCACAACCGTTCAAATGTTTGGGGTTAGTCAATAATAAAAAAAAAAGAACTTTTATTCACCAAGGACATATTAAATTGATCAAAATTAATAGTAAAGACATTTATCTTTGTAATGTTAAATTTTTTTTTATTTCAAATAAATGTTCCTTTGCGCTTTCTATTCATCAAGCATCCTGAAAAAATGTATGATGGGTTTCAAAAAATATTAAGCAGACCAACGGGTTTCAAGATTGATAATAATAAGAAATATTTATTGAGCAGCAAATCAGCATATTAGAATAATTTCTGAAGGATCATGTGACACTGAAGACTAGAGTAATGGCTGCTGAAAAAAAAAAAACAAGCTTTACCATCAGAGGAATAAATTGCATTTTAAAATGTATTAAAATAGAAAACAGTTTTAAATTGCAATAATATTTTACAATATTACAGTTTTACTGTTTTTTTTATCAAACAAATCCAGCCTTGGTGAGCATAAGAGAATTCTTTCAAAACAATTAAACCATGTTACACACTCAAAACTTTTGAACGGTACTGTATTTTTTTCTGAAATGCATGTTAATGTTCTCTTCTTTTGGCAGGAATCAACTCTTTCCAAGTGTACATGGCTTACAAAGGGTTATTTCAAATGCCTGACTCTCAGGTTAGGTATCTATACTTCCATCTATAGAACATCCTGTACTGTGATATAATAAAATAACTAATTTGATCTCTCTCTCTTTCTCTCGTCTAGTTGTATGAAGCATTCTCATTCCTTAAGGAGCTGGGGGCAGTGGTGCTGGTGCACGCAGAGAATGGAGACCTAATAGCACAGGTACCTGTTGTCTAATGAGCAAATGCCATACAGAATTCAAACGCACTCTTCTGCCACGTACTGTTATTTCAATATTTGTGTTAAAGGAACAAAGCAAAATCTTGGGAATGGGCATCACTGCTCCGGACGGCCACCCACTGAGCCGACCAGAGGAGGTGGGATCAATAAATTGGCAAACTATTTAGAAGTTTAACTGAGTAACTGTTTATCCAGTCAGTTTCAGCAGAGTGAAGTGTCTTGATGTAATTGGATGTCTGTTTCACAGCTGGAGGCGGAGGCTGTTTTCCGCGCTATCACCCTTGGCAACCGAGTCAACTGCCCTGTCTACATCACCAAAGTGATGAGTAAAGGTGCAGCTGATACTGTGACCAATGCACGGAAGAAAGGTGACTGCATATTGTGAAATATTGTTGCATGCTGAATTCACAATTTAATATTCTTGAACGAAGCCTCTCACCCAGGCTGCATTTATTTGATAAAAAATACAGTAATTTTAAATTGTATTACAGTATTTTCTATTTTAATATATTTTAAAATGTAATATATTAAAAAGCTGAATTTTCAGCAGCTTTTTCTCAGTCTTCAGTGTCACGTGATCCTTCAGAAATCATTCTAAATTGCTGATTTGCTGCTCAAGAAGCATTTCTTATTATTATCACTGTTGAAGACAGTTGTACTGCTCAATATGTTTGTGATTTTAAATATTTCAGAATTTATTTGAAAGAATTTTTGTAACAATAATAAGACTTTACTGTCACATTTGGTCAATTAATGCATCCTTGCCGAATAAAAGTATTAATTTCTTTCAAAAAAAAAAATCTTATTGACACCAAACTATAGTGTAGTAGCATAAATGGTAGGTGTACTTAAAAAAAGGTATTTATTGCAATGTCTAGCACAACTGGTTCATTTAAACAAACTTGAATATGCCAGTCCTAAAATTTATGGACTTGTTCTCTTTATTTCCCTGGCTTTAGGCTCTGTTGTTTTTGGTGAGCCAATCACAGCCAGCTTAGCAACAGATGGATCTCACTATTGGAGCAAAAACTGGGCAAAAGCAGCAGCCTATGTGACCTCTCCACCCCTCAGCACTGACCCGACAACACCTGACCACCTTCACTCTCTACTGGCCTGGTAAATAATTTTGAGTTATTTCGACATTATTCGACATCTGTGACATTTGAACAGTTAGTGTAGATGCAATGTAATACTGGAGTCCTATGCCAAGTGGCACTATCTACCAATTTTTTATCTACTCTCTCCATTACTTTGGCTCTTTGCTACACCCAGACCACAGACACACCTTTTCCTGGCCCCATTTCTAAAAATAGATCTGGCTTTCATCTCCTGTTGCCATGGTTACAACACTCTCCTCCTCCCTCCCCACCACACACACACACACACACACACACACACACACACACATAACTTGCAGGCTGCTAGACTATGAGAGAGATCTCATTATGTTGACATCCACAGCCACACATACTTTCACATGCATGCACACACACACACACACTCACAGGCACAGAGATTCACACTCACACACACACTGTCACATAGAGGCAGACCGACACAGCTGGAGAGAGGACATTTATTTTTAGCATAGATACATTAGTCGAGTCCAAAGGATGAGAGGAAATTCTAGAAAAAGATCAAAGATTATTTTTTAAGTATTAAACATTATGTGTAGGATGCAAAGACCAACGTTAGTTATATTGTGTAGATGTGTGGTGTTGCATTTCGGGATTTCAAAACATATCACCCCTGTCTGAATCATTTTTTCATCATTTCATCATGTGCATCTTTTGTCCACATAACAGTCACACATATCCATAAGCATTATGGATGCGTACATCCTTTTGTATTGCAAATATTTAACTGAAGCTGACAATTGCAGTTGGGCCTGATTTTATGGTTAGTCCACATGAAGAAACCATTTCAGTGATACAGAAAAGACAGCAATTTACCTGATGCTGGTTGCTCAATAAGCAAATCTAGTGTAGGTTTAGTGGAAATGTCTTTAATAGTTAATGCTCAGTCGACTGTCTCTTATAGTAGCTAAGCTGGTTGGTCAAAAGATAGAAGAGAAATTTGAGGACATGACCAATTAAAATAGCAAAGAGCTGTCATATACATCCCTCAGGTCTTTGAATTGTAATATCTATGGAGCTTGCAATGAATTTAAAATTGAGCAGTAAGCTTTTCATTTTCATTTTTTTATTTTTTATTAATACGTTTATTCAGCAAGGATTCATTAAAAGTGTCAGTTTATGTTACGAATGTTTCTGTTGAAAATTAATGCTGTTTATCTATTCATCAAAGAATCCTGAAAAAAAAAATTTATCGCTGTTTTTACAAAAATATGAAGCAGCACAACTGTTTTCAACACTGATAATAAGAAATGTTTCTTAAGGAACCAAATCATCATATTAGAATGATTTCTGAAGGACTGGAGTAATTTAAAAAATAAAATCAGCTTTGTAATCACAGGAATAAATTACATTTTAAATATATTAAAATAAAAAATAATTATTTTAAATTGTAATAATATTTCACAATATTCAGTTTTTTAGTGTTGAATATATAAATGAATGCAGCCTTGGTGAGCATAAGAGAAAGAGAAACTACATTTTTTTCTAAATCTAAATCTCTTCTAAACGCCTGCAAAATATTTATGGTGATTTTATATTTGATAAACAGGTGAAAATATGTGAAAAGAGAAAGTATTTTTTTTCTTCTTCTGTTTCTAGGCTCTGGAGTACAATATTTTTGAGGGGATGGAGTGTCGTGGTGGTCCAGTGTATGTGGTCAGTCAGGGTAGGATTGTGTTTGAGGAAGGGAAGCTTCAGGTTCAGCAGTGGACTGGACGTTTCATCTCTCGCAAACCCTTCCCTGACATTGCCTACCAGCGCATTAAGTACCGCAACAGGGTATGACTCTTCTTTGATTAATTCACTGACCTTCACTCAGTCTCAGGTAGTTTTGTTGTATATATAAAATTGGACTGCGGCTCTCTAGGACCGAACTTGCCTACCCCTGGTATATACAGAGTACAGTACCATTCAAAATTTTGTGTTCAGTATGATTTTTAATGTTTTTAAAAGAATACTCTTATGCTCAGCAAGGCTGCATTTATCAGTACAGTAAAGTAAAAGCAGCAGTATTGTAAATGTATTGTTAACTAAAATAGCTGTTTTATATTTTAATATATTTTTTTATTTAATTTATTCCTTGTGTCACATGATCCTTCAGAAATCATTCTAAGATGACGATTTGATGCTCAATAAACATTTCTTATCAGTGTTGAGAACTGTTGTACTGCTTAATGTTTTTGTGGCAATAGTGATACTCTTTTCAGTGTGTTTGATGAATAGAAAGTTCAAAAGAACAGCATTTATTTGAAATAGAAATCACTTTATAAAGGTCTTTACTGGCAGTTTTAATCAATTTAATGCCTCCTTGCTGAATAAAAGTAATAATTTCTTTAAAAAAAAACTTACTGACACGAAGCTTTTTAACAATAGTGTAGTAATGTAAAGGTTCAGTATTTTCCAAGCATACATTTAATAACGTGGTAATAATAATGATTGCTAGATGTGTTATTTGTTTTATAGTGCAAATACAAAGACTGGTAGAAATGAATGTATTATCAAACTTTTAGGTTCATGTCTCAGTTTCTATTAGTAACACCAAACCTGTCGTTTACTGTTGTTTGGAAGGTGATGAGCAAGCAGGGAGTTTCTCGTGGGATGTATGATGGTCCAGTATATGATATCCCAGCAACACCCAAATATATAACCCCAGCACCCTCTGCCAAGACCTCACCCACTACACACCAGCCTCCACCAATCAGAAACTTGCATCAGTCTAACTTCAGCCTATCAGGTGAGGAGATTGCCTTTTCTAATGAATATATTCCCCAGTATCCTCAATTCCTTTGAATAATGTATCAATTTATCAGTATTTTACAGCAATTGTATAATTTTTATGATTATTTCAATAATATTAGGGGCTCAAATAGATGACAACATTCCTAGGCGCTCTAGCCACCGCATTGTAGCACCCCCTGGTGGTCGTTCCAACATCACCAGCCTTGGTTGAGCACTTCTGCAGCTCCCATGTGACTTTGAGAGTGTGTGTGTGTGTGTGTGTGTGTGTGTGTGTGTGTGTGTGTGTGTGTGTGTGTGTGTGTGTGAGTATTATTACAGTTCTATCTGTTGACAAATAATCAGTATTCTCCTCTCACAGGGCCATGCTATAAAAGATATTTGTGCAACGCATGCATGTCAAAATATCACTGTACCTTACCTGTGCAGTAAATGTCCCATCTACAGTCAATATTACTGTGTGCATTGTACACAATAGTCTCTCTGCTAAGACATACCTAGACAAATACCAATAGATAGCTAGACAATCACTAGAAAATACTTTATATCCGTAACAAATTTCAGAAAAAGTAGCATTTAAACAATGCTAATATAACTACTCACATTTATTATTAAAGTTATGAAAACCCTCGTTCTGCTGATGTGACCCCAGTGTTTGTGAAAATGTCCTGCTTTAAAGCCCTGTGAAGCCGGTAACTAGACATCCCACAAAATGGTGCTCCTCCTACTGGACAACTTACAGAGCTAAAGATGACTAGATAAAAGTGTTAGAATGCATGTCTGAGATCAGTTTTGGCATAGATGTACCACTAATAAGTACATTCTAAAGCTGAGTGACGATCTGCTCTTACAAGCACTTTTAACTTTCATGTTCTCTGTGCACTGAAATGTTTTTAATTCTGTGTTATCAGTCTATTTGTGGTAAAGAATGGTGATGGATTGCATGATCTCACTTTTAGATGTTGGTATTATTGACATCTGACCTTTTGATTCTTACACTCTTTATACTTTGAAGGATAATTTTTTTATCAGTTATCTTATCACATTTGAATTGTTTTACAAGAAAAATTTGTTATATCACTTTTTATTTTCATTTTACCTGTAGCGAAAAAGGCTGCATGCCATTTTAGCTCCTCCAAGCTCTTGGTTGTGTAGATTTTGTTTATTGCAAAATTAGATGTTGACTAGAGAAGGTATTCACATTACCTCATATCACAAATGCAAAATCAAAGAATGCAACTATATGTGGTCCGTGTAACCCTTTGCAGTTCTTTGTTCAATTCGCACCATCAAAATGAACCAAATGAAAAGTTGGCTTCAAACTTTCATTTTCAATTTTTTTGGAGCAATTTACAAACGGATAATTGTCTCTCATTTTAATTTTCAATTTTTCAAGTTCGGATTGTTGCGCCCGAATCTGATTTTTGAACTAAAATACAAAATTACTAATTCTGATTTTCCACTTCTCTGTTTTGCGCTCCCGGTTGGACCGTACCAGTGGCGGAGCGGGGGGTGGGGATGTGGATGTATTTACCCAGAGCGCTGACTGTAGGTCAGGGGCGTAGCGTCTTGTATGCAGGGTATGCAGGTGAATATGGACCCAGGCGTGTTGTGGGCCCGCTGAGCCGAGGAAGAACCTTTAATTGAAACTTTTTTTAAAGTAACTACCAAGTGGCCAGCGGCGGACTGAGTTGAGCATATATGTTCGATCAATTTAGCCTTCTCAAATCAACATGACTTGCCTAAAATAAAATCTATAGACATAAAACACTTCATGCAATTCACAATATGAATTAAAACTTTAACCTAGATACATGTGTGCTGTTAGACGCACTTGACACAGTCGTTTGTGTGGAGAGTGGAAACTGAAGCGCGCTCTGCAGGACATGGAGGCGCCAGCTTAATCGCATTTTTTTCTTAAGAGTGGAAACTTAGCATACGCCGTCATTTTTGTTCATAAAGGTAAGAGTAATACATAATTCGGAATTGTAAAGGGTCTACTTTTATTTGTGTGCACTCATAAACAATATCAACAAAAACCTGTGCTTTTGTAAAATTATTAAGGAAAACAAACAGGATGCGCTTTCTGTTGTCTTGATCTTGAGCAGGAGCTTCACAATGATGAACCGAAACTCAGCGAATACTTGCCTCCTCACAGACATGATAAATATATCTAATAGAATGCTTTAAATACTTTGAAACAAAATAATTCAAATAGAAAACAAAAACTCTTTCATTATGTAGGCTAATCCATAAAGATGTAGCCTATTTCTCTCTAAAGGCGCGCATCCTGAGGAGATGGCGAGTCAGGATCGTCAACTTCATCTTGTGACACTGACTCAGAAAATACTAGTTCATTAATAAATAATTCAAATATCTCCTTAGTATTTTATTTATTTATTTATTTTTTGTTTGTTTTTGTTTTTTGGGCTTCTGTGCCAAGAGTGTGTTTGCATGCAGTACAAATAGCCTACGGCGGCATTTTAGTACCATGTTGAAAAATAAGATTAACATCATAATATTTTAAGAATGAAGTCAAAATTACGATAATAAAAGCAGGTTATAGGCCTATTGCGTGAAGTTAATTTGAGAATTCCACCTATACTCCGCCAAAAAAAAGAAATAAAATAAAATAAATAAATAAATAAAAATAAAAAGTCTTGCATCCAACCTGTCATTTTTCACATTTAACATAAAAAACAGCAATAAAAGGTAGGCTCATTGACGTTTTTTTAAACTCTAATTGATCGATTTCATGAAACATTCGTTTGTATTAAATTGTTCAGATTTTTTCAACATGCATTCAAATATTTATTCATTTGTATTAAATTGTTCTGATTTTTTCAACATGCATTCAAATATTTATTAATGTTTATTTCGTGCTGCAAATATTAAAGATGAAAATGTAATTGATTCACATGCTAAAACGTGACAAGGTCGCGAAATCGAAAGTGAAAGCATCTGGAGCCAGGTGTTCTGTCGATTTGTGCTACCCTGTCAGATTTTGCTACCTCCTATTAAACAGTGTGTAGTACAATTCGACAACGAAAAATGCTACCTGTAAAATTATGGTTTATTAACGTCTACACCTACACCTACCCCAACCCTAAACCTACCCTTACAGTAATGCAAATACAGTAATTATGTTATATTCGCGGTTGTGGCTAGAAGGGATACAGCAAAAGAAACCAACAATAAATAATTTTTTCTACCTATTAGATTGTGTTTTATTAAAGTCTACACCTACCCCAACCCTAAACCCACCCTTACAGTAATGCAGATACATTAAATATTGTTGTTCAGCGTGAGAAAAAATACGCAATAAAAGTTTGAAGCCAACTTTTCATTTGGTTCATTTTGATGGTGCGAATTGAACAAAGAACTGCAAAGGGTTACACGGACCATATGCAACCCGTGAGATTGTTTTTATCTGCAGCACTCTCATCTGCGATGCAAATGCTCACATCTGGAAGAGCAAGTCACACATGCATTCAAAAAGAGCTGAAAATGCTTTCATTTCATCTGCCCGGTTTTTCTTCTGTTGTGAGATTTCTACAGTATTGCTCCACATCCAAGTGGCTCTAGCCTAGTCACTGTGTACGCTCAAAGTCTTAATACCGAACTTCCACTGAATAATTGGTGATTGCTCTTGTTTTGGACCAATACAAGGCCAGTGCCAAGCCTGCTGTATTGTTTTCCATACCCCATTGTGATTTTGTATTGCCTATGGTATATATAGTGTTTATGACCAATGCCATTTTAGTTTTTGTTGGCTGATATCCACTAATGCACTCATTGACTGTTGATAATGACAGTTTGCTATGGTGAAATAACGTTCATAAATGTTGTTGAAGCTGCTGTGTGTTTCCCTTGTGTGAAATTGCCTTTTTCTGAATTAACCAAATCTGATCTGAAAAAAAAAACCAAACAAAAAAACGGGTTTAATAATTAATTTCAGTGTCACAATATAATGTATTTTTTGATAGTCAGTTTCTGTAGACATACAAAAATCTTGCCAACAAATAAATACTGAACATTTCCACCAGTATTGTCCAGGAAAAAAAACAAACAAACATCCAATTCATGTAATGCAATATGCAACTCTACCACCTGCAAAAACAACGCTCGCTTGCATGGAGACAGTCAGAGCAAAAGTCACACATTTGAGAAAAAAACTATGAAAAAAAGAGAAAGCCTAAAGACAAGCAAGTGAGATTCTTAATGGAAGTACAGAAGATAAGCATACACTACTCCTGCAAAGGCAAAAAAAAAAAGGATGGATATAAAGGAACCCAAATGCAGTGACAAGATCATTCTGTAGTCCTCTGTTAGTCAGCTGGTAAAGGGACTTTTTCAGTTCCTTCCCAAAAACAGGGACAGATAGAAAGACTAACTAACTGTCATCTCTCTGTCCGTTCTAAGTGAAGTTTTCACTTCATCTGTAGCATTATATGTTCACCACTAGATGTCCTTAGTACTAGTTTTCTGGGATAGTTCACCCAAAAATGAAAATTTTGTCATCATTTACTCACCCTCTGGTTTTTCCAAACCTTTATGAATTTCTTTCTTCTGCTGAACACAAAAGTAGATCATCTGAAGAATATTAACTAAACAGTTGCCGGTATTGACTTCCATAGTAGGGAAAACAATGGCTACCAGCAATCATTTCCAACATTCTCCAAAATATCTTATTTTGTGTTCAACAAAAGTAAGAAATTCATACAGATTTGGAAAAACCAGAGGATGAGTAAATAATAACACAATTTTGGGGTGAACTATCCCTTTTAACTATTATTCTTTAGCTCTTTCATTTTATTAGCTATTATATTCCTCAGCTCTCTGTTTCATAATAAACGGTTTCTTAGATGTTTATTCTTTAATATCTAATACAACATTGGTTATCTCCGTTATCCGTTAGCAATTTTATTTGTAAGCTTACATTATATCGGTGCTTAAGATATTGGTATTAGTATGAAAAACATTATCAGTCCGTCACTAAAATTTTCATTTTGCTTTTGAATGAAAATACTCATACAGAAAAAGTCCATTATTAATGTGATTTCAAAAATAGTGCTTTATATTACATAACATGGTTTAAAATATAAAATTCTGCAAATAATGTTAAGTAGCCTACACTGTAACCGATTTTTGTAATTTGAACAGTATTATACTGTAATATGTACAGTAAGATACTGTAAACTGCAAAGGATTACGGGAAAATATAAGGTATCTACTGTATTTCCTCACTACTGTAAATCAATATACAGTAGTGAACTTGCCCGCGAAAAACTGACCAATGGCAAGGATATAAGATTTTGGGGTTCTTTTAGCAGCAATAATTACTTATAAATCACACTGAAATTCAGATCTTGCTAGAGTGTAACAAGAAGAAAACTCCAAGCAAAACCTACTCAACTCCTTTACTGTTTGTCATTCACTTGTCACTGAACAATGGCAAAACGATGAATACTGTAGAATGACACCTGTATTGTCACACAGGCTGCGTTTCTATTTCTATAACACACACACATATGCTGCCTATGTAGAGTGTTCCAAATCACTCGCTTATGAGGTTACATTGGAGTTAGGAGTGAAGTGACATGTGACATGTGGCCAAGTATGGTGACCCATACTCTGAATTAGTGCTCTGGATTTATCCCATCCAAAGTGCACACACACACAGCAGTGAACACACACCCGGAGCAGTGGGCAACCATTTTTTTGCTGCGGTGCCCAGGGAGCAGTTGGGGGTTTGGTGCCTTGCTCAAGTCGTGCTCAATACCTCAGTCGTGGTATTGAAGGTGGGAGAGAGCGCTGTACATTCACTCCCCCCACCTACAATCCCTGCCGGTACAAGACTCGAACCCGCAACCTTTGGGTTACGAGTCCGACTCTCTAACCATTAGGCCACGACTTCCCCACTTCCCCGACTTATTGTACTGTAAATGCAATTACAGTAATAATACTGTAAACATTTTGACAGTAAATTACTGGCAACCAGCTGCCAGTAAGTTACTGTAAAATTTACAGCAACCTATTTACAGTGTATACTATTCAAGTTAATTAATTGTGTCCCCTTTTAAGTTTAAATTCCCCAGGTAGATTCAGTCATGTTTAACTTGGTCACAAATTCGCCACGTGGAACATCAGAAAGCTTGGATTGAAAGTGACTTATGTGTGATCACCGCTTCATACATCGCTATGCTACTAGATTTTTTATTTAGCAAATAGACTTTTTTC